GTGACAGAAGGAGATTCAACTTTAGGTGGTGAGCACACAATGCAATATGCAGATGATATTATAGAATTGTACACTTGAAACCAGTGTAATTTTATTAACCAGTTTTACCCCCAATAAATTTAATAAAATAAGTCATATGAAATATTCTGTCTCTTGTATCTACTAACTGGACCCATTTTTATGTTCATTTATTTCATTTTTTTAACTTATTGGGATTATTTTCTAAGAAGGAATTTTTGTAATAATATGAAATATTTTCATGGTTCCAAAGTCAAGTCTAAAAACCCAAGGTATATTAAAAGAAGCCTATCTTTCTTTTGGTGTTCTGTGCACCCAATTTCAATGTAGGGAAGGGGTTTTCCCAAACACCAACAAACAATTCTCAGACACCAGCAGGATGTCCAAGAATTCAACTCAATTGTTGACACTATAACCTGGAGACAGCATCAGATTCTACAGGTTAAGTGTTCAGTCCTGCAAAACTGCCTCTTCCCAATTTCAGATGCCAGTCGAAAGCCCAGCTTGTTACCTGTGCTTCTGACCAACTGGCTACAGATTGGAAATTCCAATGACCCCCTCCAACTTAGGATGCCAATTGCAAGTCCAGGTTGTTACCTGGACTTCCTACCAACTGGCTATAAATCAGAGTCCCATGACCCCCTTCTTGGGGTTCGACTGATTTGCTAAAACAGCTCACAGAACTTACTAGATTATCAGTTTATTATTAAAGCATATAACTCAGAAACAGCTGGATAGAAGAGATGCATAGGGCAAGATATGTGGAGCTTCCATGCCCTCTCCTGGCTCCACTCTCCTCACATCTGCCCACGTTAACCAACCCGGAAGCTCTCTGAACCCTGTCCTTTTGAGATTCTATGGAGGCTTCATTACGTGGTAGGGTTGATTAAATCACTGGCTGCTGGCAATTGATTCAACCTCCAGCCCCTTTACCCACCCACCGAAAGTGAATGGGAGGACTAAAAGTTCCAACCTTCTAGTCACGTGGTTGGCTTTCTCGGCAACCAGCACCTATCCTCAGGGACTTTCTAAAAGTAACCTCATTAACTTAAAAGATACATTTTTCACTCTCAACATTTAAGGGAATTCCAGGCAGGAATTGTGGCTGGAGACCAAATATATGTGAGAAATGTATATTGGTCCTCTGAATGACCAAATATATTTTTCTTACAAATCACAATATCGCAAGCTTCCATCTCTGTCCCCTCCATCTTATTCCTTAATTTTAAAACATTATGGAATATACAGATGATGTATATTAATTAGATAAACCATAAAAAACATAAATAAATCTTATATATGTGCATGTGAGCACATATTTATATCACTCATTTTAAGGTAAACACTAGTATACCAGACACACTTGCCCTACCTTGCTTCTTTCACATAACAATACAAACCATAGCTTAAAAAATGCTCCTCATTCTTTCTTATAGCTGCGTAATACTCCATTGGGAGGATATACTATAGTTCATTCAGTATGCCCTCACATAAAGATATTTGGGTTGTTTCCAGTTTTTTGACATTACCAAAACTGCTGCTATTAATAGTCTTCTACATATGCCTTTTTGTATTGTGTTTGAGATAGATACCTGGAAGTGAGATGTGTAGGTCAAAGGGATAAATAAATATGTGATTTTGCTAAATATTCCAAATTTCCCTCTCTAGGGGTCTTCCGTTTTGCATTTCCACCAGCAATGTTTGAGAATGTCTGTTTCCCTGCAGCCTTACTGTCATAGTATATTGTTAAGCTTTGGGTTTTTGTCAGTCTGCCAGGTGAGAAATGCTATCTTGGTCCAGTTTTAATTTCTATGTATCCCAATACAACTTAGCAAAAAGCACATCTTTCACGCACTCATTCATGATGCCACCTTTATCAAAATTAAAATTTCCATACATAGTGTAGGTCTATTTCTGGATTTTGTATTCCATTTCATTGGTCTATCTTTTTTAGTCACTTATCAATGCCAAGGTGTTTTAATTATAAAGGCTTTATGTTTCAATGTCTGATAGGACTGCCTGCCCCCACCCCCTCCAACAATTGCTTTTCTTTTTCATGGTTTTTTCTGGTTATTTTCTGGCTTCACCTAAATGAACTTTATAATTGTTAACTTATCTAGTTCTGTTATCCCTGCCCCAAGAAAATATGGTATTTTTATTTGAATTGCAATAATTTACACATTAACCTAGAAAGAGCTAACTCCTTTGGGATGCTAAATTTTCCTAACCAAGGACACATATCTTTCCATTTGTTCAAGTCCACTCTCCTGTGTTTTGTGTTTTATAGTTTTTCCCATACAGATTTTGGATATATCTTTATTTTTAAACTTTGATGGTTTATTCTTTCTTTTTCTTTGCTATTATAATCTTTGTTATCTTCCATTTTATCTTCTCACAAGTTTTGCTTATCTACATGAAAACTTTTTATTTGTATGTTAATTTGTGGAGAAAATCTACTATCCAATACTCCCACGTGGGCTAGTCTTAGCTACTCACCTCACCAACTCTGGCCTTCATGAACCAGGTTCCTGTTTCCACATTTCTGACGCCCTCCACTATGAGACCTGACAGGGGGCCCCCCAAACTATCTCTTTCTTTAAATTTTTCAAAGGCAGTGGGACCCTGCCTCTCTCCAGCTGATTTCTGGCAAAACAAGGCTCACCAAATAACCCAGGCACAAACTTCTGACACCAAAAATTAAAAAAGACAAGTTGAAACATTGATAAAATAGTAGATCACAGAAGAGGTGTCAAAGGAGAGAAATTACACACATTTGGGGAAGATTCAGTTTTAAACGTTCTTTTAATGCAGTTCATAAGTGACTTCCATATTATCTTCCTTCTGCTGGATACAATGAATGGAATGCATAGAACCCAAGGAAATGAATGTCTTAGAATCTGGTTATCTTCCACACTGTTCTCTATTGCTTCCTGGTAACTCCTAAAAGAAGTGACAAATTCAAGTTACATTTCATATACTATGAGCAGGGAGTGGCTATCCTTAAGATCAATTTGTAGGTCAATTCAGTATCTTATAATTTCTTATAATATAGTTTCATCATATTTTAATTAGATGTCTTTAATAATTTCTTTTAAACCGTCTTCAAATAATGTCTTTCATTATTATGTGATTGGTGAGAACTACTGATATTTCTTAGACTCGGTGGCTGTGAGATGATGCTGTCTATTTCAGGTGGGTTAAGAACTCCACAACATATCTTGAAAAAAGTTCTTGAGAGGACTGGCCCTGATGGGGAGAAAGCCTGAAAAACACTCATTAGCTCTCTAAGCCCTGCTGATTTTGCCACCTCCACTCCCATCCCAAAGATGGCTGCACTAAATGTCCCATGATCTTCCTCCTTCCTTTTTCAACCTGTCCTGGACATGGCAAGCGCCTTCAGAGCTTACTACTCTAAGCTGACACAGGGGCCTGTGGGAGTATCACCCAGCTGGGACTAGCGGGTGGAGGAAGGGAAGGGCTGTATCTCATTCATCTTTTTATCCCTAAAGTGCATGGAACACGGTAGGAGCTCAACAAGGACAAATTGATGTAAGAATGCATGAATGCATGCATGTATGCATGCATGAATGAATTCATTTGCCAGGATTTTGGTCCTTCAGCACTTGAATCTCTCCCAGCTGTGTCCTCTAGGAAAAAGGTTTTCACTGGTTGCTTCTGTGGGGAGGGATTCCTAACATCTTCCAACTGCACACACCCACCATGTGCATCTCCCCATTGCATTATGCGACAACATTGTCTGGGGGAGGGATGCAGATTTGGGCTGCACATTAGAAAATGCTTGTTGGTCTTTGACCTGCCTGACATTCTCCTTGTGCACTTGTCCCCTAGAAGTGCCCCCTCAGGTGCCATCTTTATGTTTCTTACCCCTTCTATATAAACTTGTTCTTTGGAAAAAATCGGATAAATTTACTCACAGCAGTGAGGAGTATCCTCTAGGAAATTTCTCTGAGTCCTCCCAAGCGTATCTGCACCGTGATAACAGACACAGATTGAAATCATAGGAGTGGCTCTAAACTTTACAACATTATTGATCCCAGAGATCCCAGAGATACTGGGATGGAGGGGAGGGGAGACTGAGGCCATTTCAGGAGCCCTAAAATTTTAATACATGAACAATCCACCGCAGGGGATTGGCCCTTCTTTTTCTGGTGCCCTCACTGTCTCTCCTCCTTGGTCTCTGACTGGCTGTTTTGTCTACCACCAGCTCCCTTTAGCACAGACCACTCCTCACTTAGGATGTCATTTTGTGTCCTTTAATTGTGGCCAAATTTGTGTATCTCTTGATGAGAATGTGGAATCCTTGAGGTTAGGGACTGGGTCTCTCACTTCTTCCTAACGTTCCTAAGTGCTTGCTACTGGGCTTTGTAGCCAAGCCACAACACACCTGGTGGGCTAGTCTTCCTGGTGTCTTGCGTTAGCTTTGTGTGACCGTTTCCAAAAACAGCCTCAGCACCATTTCAGCCCCCACATGCTCTTTAGATATATATATATCTATCACATTTTCTTTATCCATTCATCTGATGATGTACATTTAGACTGTTTCCATACCTTGGTTATTGTGGATAATGTTGCAATGAACATGCGAGTGCAGGTATCTCTTTGAAATCTTGGTTTGAATTTTTTGGATATATACCCAGAAGTGGGATGGCTAGATTATATTCTATTTTTAATTTTTTGAGGAAGCTCCATACTGTTTTCCATAATGGCAAAACCATTTTACATTCCAGCCAGCAGTGTACAGGATTCCAATTTTTCCACAACCTCACCAACATTTATCTTTTCTTTTTTGAGAGTAGACATTCTAACCGATGTGAGGTGACATATCATTGTGATTTTGATTTGCATTTCCCTCAAGATTAACAATGTCAAGCATCTTTTTATATATTTGTTGGCCATTTGTATTTCTTCTTTGGAGAAATATCTATTCAAATCCTTTGCCCATTTTTAAATCAGGTCATTTTCTTTTCTTTCTTTCTTTTTTTTGCTGTTGAGTTTTAGGAGTTCCTTACATATTTTGGAAATTAACCCCTTATCAGATGTATGGTTTACAAATAATTGCCTCCCATTCCACAGGATGCCTTTTCACTCTTCTGATTGTTTATATTGCTGTGCAGAAGACTTTTAGTTTATTGTAGTTCCATTGGTCTAATTTTTTCTTTTGTTGTCTGTCCTTCATTCCTTCCTCACATCAGTGCAACCTCACAGGAAGGCCTTCCCTGGGCCCACCACCCCTGCCTCCCATGCTAACACAGGTCACCAATCATAAGGTCTTAGAGAACTCTATTTCTTCTTCACCCAGTTTGTACTTACATATTTGTTTGTGGTTATCAATGAAACATTAAGTTTCATGAAGGGAAGGATCCCATCAGTCTCTCTCATTGTGGTGTTATGTAACTTAACACAGCGTCTGGCGCACAGAAAGCTGCTGATGGAATGGACTGAGACTAGCCCAAATTCGTACATTTAGTATTAGATCTGGGACTAGGAACTGGTGTCCCAATGCTCAGATGAAGGCTTTCTCTGCTATTCCAGTTTGCCTCTGCTCCAAACCTTCTGTTGTTTTTTTCCAGAGCCCATGCTTCTGATCATCTAGAGATTAAGGCATGGTGTCTACTACAGCCTCTCCTCAAACCAAAAACATTCCGTCTTCAACTCGACAGCCACTTTCTTGCCAAAATAAGCCAGGAATGGTTATGGGAGTGCCTGGATTCCAGCAGGAGTTTAGCTGGTCTGAGAAGGAAAACAGAGAAAAAGGAAATATCCCAAAATGTTGATTTGTTTAAACTTCTTCACAAACTTAACAACACAAGGAAACCAACATAGACAAGCTTGTAATGAAGTAATCAGCCGACACTGCTAATATTCCAGTAACATGAAATGATTCCCCACATTTCCTGGGGTAGATATGAATAGGGTCATTAAAATATGGCCAAGGAAGGGAGGGACAGTTTACTTTTTCTGTCTCCTTAGAGTCTGTGTTCTAAAAACAGCA